TTTTTTTCCTACAAACCATTTTCAACGTTTTGTTCAACGCGCTAGTGAAACCCATTCGAAATACCGCTTCGAAATCGGTTTGTTTGAAAAATGTCAAACCGGTTCACTTCACTTGGTTTTAAGTGTAAACCAATATCGTGATGATCTCCTGATGAATGTCTACTTTTGGGCTAATTTTTCAATTCGAATACAAATATTGCGAACAATCTGGAGAGATATTCAATCATTTTGTCTGGCCGAAAAGTGAAGAGCAAAGCATTCTATACTCTCAATTGGAAAGGAGGTAATTTCAAATCCATCCTTAAGAGAAAAAATGTAGTTTCTTTCTTTGCTTTTTATTCAGTTGGTTTTGATCATTGGAGTGACCAAGTAAGTTCAGATTAAAAGATAAAAAATATTTATAAAGAAAAGATGTCATTTTCACTTTTTTTCTTTTTCATTGCAAATCTGCAAACAAATTGTTTGTTGGATTTCAAAACATAAAAATCCGAGTAGATGCACACAATTTGATCTATAAACATTCCTGTGTTTAGTTTGTATGCTTTGATTGCTATTCTAAATAAGTCTCATGCATAACGAATAAAGAATAAAGCTTATCTAATGAACGGGAGTCATCGATTGAAAATTGGACAATAATTGAAAATAAATAATTATTACCCTGAATGGATCACGTTTTAGATTAGACTTTCATTGTAATTGTATTTTTTATTAATTTTTTTCAAATAAAGTTTATCAAATCATTTTTTTTTATGTTGACAAAACAAATTAGTTAGAAAAATGTTGGTCTTTATTGATCACATGGCAAGATCACTACAAACAATGCAAATATAAAATTTATTTTAAATCTTGACTTTGTTCGGTGATCATTTCGTGAATCCATCCTAGTTGTGTGTATACACGTGTATAACCATCTGGTAAGCCCATCGCACATGGGATAACCCACGAAACTACGCCGACAAGTGTTTTGTGTTCAGGATCACTAGCATCGACCAATGGGCCGCCCGAGTCTCCAAAGCAATTGCCAACTCCTTCATCGTTTACTGTGCAAAGGATGCTGTCATCAACATGTTTACCGGCTTCATGGCTATTGTATTTGTTTTTGCATTCTGAAGCGCTAATTGTCATTGGTTTGGCAAACTGCAATACATTTGGCACTGAACTTTCTGCGTTTCCGTCCAACTAAAAATGAATAAGAATATTGGTTAATGTCACGATTCATGACAATGTTCATGGCAAAAATTCAAATCAACTTACCGTGGTACGTCCCCAGCCCGACACAATTACCGGTGTGGATCCATCAGTATTTTGTGTTGGCAATGACAGTGGCTGAATGAGCGGTGTGAAGACAATATTTTGAGTTGTGCGCATCAATGAAATATCGTTAAAATATAATGTCGTATCGTATTTTTGATGTGGTGTAATTCGATCAAAAAATATTGGGATGCCACCTTGTTTACGGCGATAGCTACCAATCATACCGTAAATGTACAATGTATCTCCATATAGATCCTGCGTACAATGTGCTGCAGTTAGTAAGAAACGGTTGGAGATAATCGATGCTCCGCAAAAATGTCTTCCATGAAGTCTGGTTCGGAGTGAAGCTTGGTATGGAAATTGCCCTTCAACAGCATCATCACCGCCAACGATGCGATATTCGCTTTTGGTATTAGCCGAAGCCACGCAAACAACACAAAGTGCCAAAGTAATCAAGTTTATTGTTTTCATTTTTACTTTGGAATGAAATTTTCGACAAGGTTCAACTGTCTTTTATTCTATGAAATTATCAAACACTTCCGTGATAAATATTATCACAATTCCCATCTGCCGGTCATCTTAATTGCACGAAACTCAATGCTATCAATCATAATCCTGATAAATCAACATTCCACTATTTAATTGAAGATCTTTTACGCTTTACTTTGAGGCACCGCTGGAAATTCCCAAACCGTGTGACATGACAATTGATCATACTTCAGTATTGTTATCACAGTTTGCGACAAATGAAATAGCTAATCAATTTGATATAATTTTTTGATAATTAAATCATGAATAATCGGAGATTTTCGTATTGTACGTATATATTGAAAATTTTCGATTAATTTTTATTTATTCTATAATACTGTGTAAAGTAACATAATATTTAAGACGAAATGATGTTTAGAATCAAAATAAAACATTCCAGAATCAATTCGGAATTATGTAGTCCCATTATTGAGGTGATGGAGGCCATTGGAAATTAAGATCTTTTAAATTATATGCATATGATATTGAATTTAGTTCCATTCTGTGCTATTCTGAAAACATGGACAAATGTTCATTGCCATCTGTTCCACATAAAAATTGAAAGAATCTAACAAAGAAAGCTCAATAAATTAAGTTGGGTTAATTGAATTCACATTTTTTCAGTTGTTATTTTGATGAAATAAAAAGAAAAAATACAGCGCACGATCGATATTCTTAAGTA